GGCGGGGGGCGGGTGTCGCGGCTCCTGCCCCCACCCCTACCCCTATAACTCGCTCCCGCGGTCTCTCTGACTCACTCGGACTCGAGGCCGGTGCGCGACTGAGCGGGTGCCTCTTGCCGACTTTGCCAAGCGGGCGCCTCCTGCCCGAACCGCGCCGATCCTGCACCCGACGCATCTCGGGGCGGCCGCCGAGCCCAGGCGGGAGCCCGAGCCGAGTCGAGCTCGCCAGAGCCGGTGAGTCGGGAGCTCGAGCCCCGCGGGGCCCTGGCCCGGCGCGCAGCTGCAGAGTCTCCGGGGAGTCGCGACAGCTGGAATGGCGTGTCGCGCCCTGGCGGCGGGAGCCGCAGGAGGGTGGGCAGCCTGGCGGCCGGCTGGCCGGGGTATTTACCTGCGGCACCAGCGCCTTGCGGCCACGCTCGCCCGCTGCAGCCCGGGTTCTTTGTCCCGATCCAGACGTCTGGAGGGTCCCGGGCAGGGGCGAGCACTGGGTCGTGTTCCCTGGGGGGTGGAGGTCGGGGGAGGCATGGGAGGGCCGCGCGGGGCTTCAAGAGCATGCGGTGTGGGGGTGGGGAGAGCTTGCAAGGACCGAGGCCACGGGGCTCCTGGGGCTCCGCAGACTGCACCCCTCCTTGCCCCCCAAATCCTGACCTCAGTGGCGCCCGGCCTAGGGGTGCGGGAGGATTTCTCAGCGGCTCTGCACTATCGGCGTGGGGAAGGGAAGAGGGGCCCCGAGAGGCGGGAGTTTCATCTTCAGGCTTCTCCTGGGACCAAAAACCAGGGACTGGAGCCGTGGTGTCGGGAGCAGGTACAGGTGGGCCCTGTTTTCACTAGAAGTTAAAGGGCAGAGTTTGAGCTAGGTCTGGACTCGGTAATTAGGCCCAGGGTCTGGGGAGGTGGGAGGGTAGGGGAGAGGAGTCGGGGTCAAAGGGAGGCTTGTGGCTCAGGGGGCTGCCTGAGGCTTGGAGTGCAGCCCCCCTCAGCTCCGTGAGGCTCCTAGGGTGTGCTGGTCTTGCTCCCCTGGGCCCTGGCAATACAGAGAATGGGTTGATTACTGCAGCAGAAGAGACCAACTTTAGACATAAAGAAGTGCTTTTAAGAGGGTGGCTCAGTGATGGAAGTTGGAGAGGTTGATTGTGCTTCTGGAAGAATCCAGAGTAGATTAGGCCAAGAAATTGTTGTTAGACTTTGGTTTCCTGTGCCCTATTCCCTACACCTCGCAATTCCCATATCCCACCAGACACCAGTCTGGAGTCTGCCTACTGCCTCTCCATCTCCCTCCCGTTCCTTCTCCAGCGATCCTTTTCCAACAGGGCCTGTGGTGCAGGCCCTGACCCCTGAGACTGTGAGGAGAATAATTCAAGGTGAGGACACACCTGTCGCTTTCTGTCTGCAATGGGGGCCGCCTCTGTTCTCTGCACAAGCCAGAAACCGTGGGGGATGGGATGGAAGTTGGGGGTGTATTGTGTAGTATGTTTCTGCATACCAGGGACCTGCGATCTCTAGGGGGGCACCCTGCAGTCTGAAATGACAGGTACCCAGACAGACAGCCTGAAGGTAGGGGGGAGAGCAAGCTGAGAACCAGGAGCCAGGAGACCCAGATGAGTCAGGAAGCTAGCTAGCTGCGGCTGTTTCAGTTTGGGTTGGCAGCCTGGGGGGAACTTGAGCTTTGGCTGCTGAGTCACAAACCTCAGGAAGCCCTGGGGGGTTGGGGGGGGAAGTAGGGAGAGTGGAGGGACAAACTGTGGCCCTGGAAGGGGGCCCTGGAAGGGGCAGGAGGCAAGAGAACCTTAATCAGAGCAAAAGAAAGAGGGTAATTGAGTGGTTTGGGGGTCTTGGGGATTTAACGTGAGCACCTGATCTTGGGAGGGGGGTGCAGCACTGGGGCCTGGAGTACCCCATCTCTAGCTAGAAATATTCCATTTCTAGAGCCATTGCCAGGCTCTAGAGTCCAGCCAGTTTCATGAAAAATGCAAGTGACTAGAGTGTGTGCGGTTCCCTTGACCAGTGTTTCTCCTGCCTTCCTCCTGCTCCAAGTCTCAGCTTGAGGGATTTCTAGTAACACCTTGAGTTTCCATGACTGGAATTCAGATTCTACGTGGTCATTTACAAAGACCACAGGATCTGTGCTGGGAATTGCACAGGAAATCTCAGTCATTCAGACCCTGATTTGGAAACACCGCTACACAAACTGTCCCAGCAGGAAAACAAAGTTCTTTTTCTTTGAAAACTCTATAGGGCCAGGGTCTCTACTTTGTCAACACACCCTCCTGGGGTAGACACCAACGGGCAGGTCTTTGTTTTTCTTTTTATCAGCAGCTTTGTGGAAGTGAATGAATGTCTCTCAAAGGTCATAGTTGCAGAGTTTTGGGTTGAGAGAGGACACAGAGGGTCAGAGGTATTCCAGAAAATGCAGGAGGCTCACAGAAGGCCCTGAACTGCCCATGCCTCCCAACCTGGCAGCCAAGAATAGTCATTCTCTGGCTTACCTGTGGCCCTGGCATGTACGTGATGTTTGTTCACTTCTCTAACGGCCGTGGAGTTGTTCTGTGATTCAGCTGCCTGGCTTTGAAGTTGGCCTTCTGTGACACATAACATTTTTCCTGCTTGTGATGGCAAATTAACCGCACAGCATTTCATCAAAACACAAAAGTCCTGTTTCTATAACTGAATAACCAGTCACTCCCTTTCTCCTGGCTGAAAGGGAAAGGATTCTGCAGATTTTGCCTCCTTTGAGGCAGTGCACAATCCTTTAGAACCTGTGACGATGATATTCTCAGTCTCTACCGCGTCTTGAGTTTGAAGGTTCTAGAACCAGGACCCGCTAAGCTAAGTTGTAGAGCTATGGAGTGACAGTTCTGGAAGTTCTTTTCTCCTTCTGACTGAGAGTTCCTGCAGTGGAGGTGGTAGTTTCAGATGCTTCCATCCCTCCATGTCCTGCGCAAAAGCTGTGTTCTCTTTTCACTCTTCTGATGTTGCTCCTCCCTGATCAGAACTGGGAGTATGACTGTGGCTACAAATAACTAGGACTGGGACTGAGGCACCCGGTTGAGACCAGGTTTCTTTAGGGTGGTCTGGAGTGGGGAGAGCAGGCTCAGAGTAAGTCCTGTCCCAGCCAGGGGCACCCCTGCTGGCCCGGTTTAGGAAGGGAGGCTCCCAGAACTGGGAGGACTGGGCCATGGCTTAGGAACTCAAACCAGGGTGCCTTGGAAAGTAGAGGTGAGCAGGGCACCCAAGTGGGGGGACACTCCTGGTATAGTGGAGCGTCTGTTGGGGTGTAGAACTGTTCACCTCACCCTGTATGCACGACTTTGCTCTCACTGGTGGCAGGTGTGAACAGAGGGGACAGGGGAGAGGGAAATGAACCTGTGTGGCTTTCTGTCTGCCCCCCCACCCCTCTTTGATCCCCCACATTCAGAGGCTGCAGGTCCTGAGCAATGAGGCAGAAGGGTACAGTAACCATCTGCCCAAATAATAACACTAATAATTGCTAAATTAATGCCAACGCTCCATTAGCTATATAACACTCCACATTAGTCTCCGATTTATCTCTGAATCCCCTAATGACTGTGGAAGTGGGTGCCCAGTCATAAAGCTTGGTGTGGCCGTAATTAGCCCAGTATTGTCTCTTCTCATCACAGCTTTTTTCAGGAGCATTAATTCCTTCTCTGTTTGGATTCTGCTAATTATCCCCATCGGTAGCTTGGCCTGGATCTCTGAAAGAAGGGAAAGGAAGCTCTCTACTAAAGAAGGGAAAACGCCACTCTCCCTCTCCCCAGCCCTGAATTCTAACTAGACCAGTCTCTCCTAATACACTTACAAGCCATGGCCAAGCTTATTATTAATGGGGTACATCTGTGAGCCCCAGAACAGAAACCCCTGATGCTCCTAACTCCCTCCCACACCCCCTTGCAGGGAGTCAGAGAGTTCAGGGGATTCTGCCCTGGCTCAAAGCGTTTGGCTGTCGCAGCTAATCGTAACCCAGAAAGGCTTCCCAGCTTCTCTACCCAGACTCCCACCAGGCCTTGTTTCAGCCCAGCCAGACTCTTCTCACCCTGGGAGCACTGACTCAAGAGTCTAGTTAGCGTCGCTAGAGTTAGTCAACTTGCCTTGGAGAGATGAATACTTATTCCTTAGGGAGTCTGTAAAGATTAAATGAGATAATGTAAGAAGGCACAGTGCATTTAACAAGTACGCTGCTCTTTTTATTAGTGGTTCTGATGAGCGTCTCCACCCTTCCAGACCAGTCACTGGTCAGTCCTTGCTCTCGGGCCTCTGCTTCCCTGGTGTCCCCCGTCTTTCTCTGGGTCTGAATGAGCACCCCTCTCTGCACAGCTGGGTCCTTACTGAGCACCCATCAGCTC